CTTATAAGGGGAGCATGTTACCTAAATAATAGGTTGGAACTTCAAACATATTACAAAAATACCCGGCTATACCAAGAGGAAGGTACAGTCGGGCGTACCATATATTTTACCTCAAAACCCACAGTTTGGAAGAACTTAAAAATTGAGCATTTGAGTGGTTTTGAAAGGTCATAAACACCTTCCAAAACCATTCCTTCACAATTTTAAACTCCCAAATAAGTCATTAACTCTTTGATGTCTTCATCTCTTTTTCAAAAATCAACTCTCAAACACACTTTTAGGAATGAAATCATCTGCATAAGACAGCGCCTTACTCTATCATTGATTTTTTTTAACTGAGAGCTCAAAATGGTCGGACATTCTCTTTGCGACTTTGCCTGACAAAGGAAGGTAGATGCGCCAAATCTGTTTTCTTATATATAGCCTATTTATTACATGGATGTCATTGGAATTTGACACTGGCCACTTTGTTAAACGTATTAAGACATCTACAACTGTGTTAATACATTGTTATAATTGTCAATCTAGCTGTTCAAATCATTGTGTTTGCTTGTTTGCGTTAAATACATTCAATATTTGAATTACTATTCAATAATTAAAGAATGCATTAGAGCCCATGCCTGAAATCCGCAATAATTGCACTTGAATAATGGAATATTGGTGTTCTTGCTAGTATGGTTAATGATGTTAGAAATAATTCCTAATATACTATCAAAAGGATAGTATTGATAAAAATATGATTTAATCACTTTCAGTGATTATAATTGTATTAAAATTTACATCATAGTATTTACATAAGTATACATGCAGTCACTACAATGGATGGCGGTAAGAGGAAATCTTGAAGAAGACTAAAGATTGCATGATAATGAAATATGGCACAAGCCGACGAATGGAAAAATCAAGATAAATGTTGATGCTGCATTGGACACCATACGGGGAAAAACGAGATTGGGGCTAGGTGGCAACAATGGAACCTTTATACACCAACACAACATGCTAGTCTATGACCATGAGAGAGGCTTTGTGGCTTAGAGCGGTCCTTGAGTGGGACAAATCACAACTATGAAGTCAAATGAAAATTTAAATGGATTCTTCGGCAGTGATTTTGGGAATACTACAGTGAGGAAATTCGTATTTGAAACGTCGTAGTTCATAATATTAGTCATATTCTACTTGATGAAGAAAACCTTGAAGTCAAGTATCAGTGAAAGTAAGTCAATAGAGTAGCTCACAAGCTTACTAAGGATGTTCTATGTAAGGAGGATGATCTTGTTATTTTTTATTCTAGTCTGGATTGTATTTCTTGCCAATTGATGAATGACGGTTTATGTTAAATAAAGTTTGTGATTTTCTTTCAATAGAGTGAACATTAAATGAATATGCTAGTTATATCAATGAAAAGCAGATAAATGTTAATGCCAATTGAAAGTTAAAATGAATACAGAAGATGAAATGTTCAACTTTAATTTCTAAAACATAACTCTAAGTTGAGTGTTTTATAGAGTCACAATTTGTACAAATGCAATTTGTCGCTCATGAAAAAAGGGATATTCATAAAGAGGAGTGAAAACATAAAAAGGGGACATTTTGAAATATGAATGTTATATTCTTTTAAATATAAGGAGGCATTTACTTTGCTGCTAAAGTCACAATTAGGTTAGTAGGACATGTGAAGTAAACATGCACGCTGCTTAAAAAGCCACTTACCAACCGAAATAGGTGCTTAAAGTGCCGCTTACTAAGCCTACCACCCCCATGTATTAATTAAGCGGCACTTTAAGCTTTTCTAGTTTCCAAATTTACCCCTTGCCCTTACCCTTATTGTTACCCCCTACCCGATACCCCGATCCCACCCTACCCACTACCCCATCTATACTCGTACCTTACCCCTACTCGACCATTACCCCACCTACCCTACCTTACCCCAACCCCAACCCCACCACCCCACCCCAACCTGGGCCCTTACCACCTTACCCCAACCCCCCACATCGGCCCTACCAGACCCCACCATATCCTATCTTACCCTACTCTTACCCTACCCTACCTTACCCAGACCCTAACCCCTACCCCACCCCCAAACCCTAGACCCTTACCACTTACCCCAACCCTACCACATTGGCCCCACCCTACCCCCTAAGGTCCCCTCCTACCCCAACCCCTTACCACATCGGCCCCACCCAACCTACCCTACCCTACCCTACCTTACCTGACCCAACCCTACCCCTACCTACCCGACCCCCACCCCCTAAGCCCCCTTACCACATTCGCCCTAACCCTGAGCCCACCCTACCCCTACCCTAGGCCCTTACCACCCTACCCCAGTGGGCCCACCCCGACCCCACCCTGTCCTACCCTACCTTACCTCGACCCCACCCCTATCCCTACCCGTTACCCCTAGGCCCTTTACCACCCTACCCAACCACCTTACCACTACCACATTGGCACCACCCAGACCCCACCCTACCACTTACCCTTTACCCCCCCTTACCACGGCTACCCCAACCCCCTACCACATTGGTCCCACCTCCAACCCCACCCTACGTGGGGTAGGATGGCAGTAGGGTGGGGGTGGAGCCAAGGTAGGGGCACCTTGTAGGTTTGGGGCAAGGTGGTAAGGGGTTGGGGTTGGGTTGAGATCGGGGTGGGGCCGAGGTAGGGGCAAGTGGTGTATTGAGTGGGGTTGGGTCGTGGTTAGGGGGATTGTGGGTAGAGTGGGGGTTGGGGTTGGGGTTGGGGTTGGGGTTGGGGTAAGGTAGGGTAGGAGTAGGGTTAGGGGCCTAGGGTCGAGGTAAGGTAGGGTATGAGTAGGAGTAGGGTAGGATAGGGTGTATGGTAGGGGGTTGTGGTAAGGGCCTAGGGGTAGGGGTGGGGTCGAGGACGGTATAATGGTGGGGTCAAGGTAAGGTAGGGTAGGGTAAGGTAGGAGTATGGTAGGTTAGGGTGGGGTCGGGGTGGGGCTGATGTGGTAGGGAGTAGGGGTAGGTAGGGTGGTAAGGGGCCTAGGGGTGGGGTAAGGGGTTGGGTGTGTGGGTACACATAAAACTTGTGTTCATTAATGTTTGTGTGTCTATATATGTATGGAGTTATTTTGGACATTTTAATGCTAAACGATGTTTTAAACCTTTTGAAGTAAACACGATCTTACAATGTTGCTCATTTTATGCGCTGCTTATTAACACGGGTCTTATTAAGCACCGTTTAGTAACCCGTGAAGTAAACGTGTCCTAAGTAAATTATTGTCATCTTGACATCATACGGTTGGCGTTACTCATTATTAATATACGGAGTAATATTTTACAATATTTTTCAAACATGATGATAATTAATCTTATCTAGAGGAAAAACATAATATGCCTATACGCTAAAGTTTGCAATATTACATTATTTTTACACCTATTTTAGAGTAATTTCTGTTTAAAAAACGTAAATCTAGATTGAGATTTGTAACAACCTTTTAAAAACACCTCCAAAATGTGGTTTGATGACATATTGACATTTATCACCTTAAAAAGTGGAAGAAGACATATTTCTAAATTCAGTCCGATCAAAATCGTCAGTTGAAGTGGTTTAAGAAAATTGCCCGTTAGAATACTGAGTAAGGATTACTTTTAGGACATGTTTACTTGGCTGTTTATTTTACCGTTAGCTTACTAAAGCAGGCGAAGTAAACGAGTTGGACGCTTAAAAACGTGCTTAGTAAACTCACCCTCCCCATGTTTTATTAAGCGCCAACTTAAGCTATTTCTTATTGAGCAACCTGCCCCTTGTTTCTCTCGTATCACAGTTGCATCGACATCGTTATCCCATCTCTCACCACTCACAAGTGCATAGCCGTCTCCCAGAACCGTCTCTCACGATCTCCCCTTAACACTTCTTTATTAAGTCGCAGCCATCATAGGTTCTACACTTCTTTTTCTCAAAGTTTATATATTTAGGTTGTGATTTTTCCTTATTCGATTTCTTGGATTAGGTTGAGCTTGACAGAGTTGCCTGAGAAAATGGTTTCACATTCTACCACACTCACTTATCATTATGCGTTTTTATATTTGAAAGAGATGATTTTAATGGTGCTGTTGTAAAATTGTGCTCATTATTTGCTTCCACCCATTCACTATTTGCTTTATAATCGGCACTGTGTTGATTTCTTTGCTAGTTGCTACTATCTAACCAATTATAGGACTGCCTCCCATTGATAGAGCTGGACCGATGAAACAATCAAATATGTTTTAAGGTTATTTTGGTCAATTTAAATATAAGGCATCTTTTAAGCCTGATGAAGTAAACGCAAATTTGATAAACACTTCTTACTAAACAGTGACTTAGTAAGACATGTTTTATTAAGCACCGTTTATTAAACATGTCCTATGTGTTTCACAGTAAGCACGACAGAACTGAGTAAGGATCCAAGTAGGGATGGACTCGGGCCGGGCGGCCCGGCCCGGTTACTGTTTGAACCGGCCCGGCCCGGGAACCGGTCTGGGGGGCGGTTCGGGTCAGCCCGGCCCGGTTACTGTGCGGTTCGGGCCCCTGCCCTTTGATTGGCGAACCGGCCCGGCCGGTTCGGGCCAAATTATTATTATTATTATTATTTTTGAATTTTTTTTAAGTTTTTGGGTTGGGCTTGGTATTTTGGGCCATTTGAGGTGGTTTGGGGTGGTTTGGGGGTGAGGGGGAGGGTTGGGGGTTAATTAGGAAAAGCCAAAAAAAAAAATAGAACCGAGGCCTGGCCCGGCCCGAACCGGAACCGGGATTACCCGGGCCGGTTCTGGGCCTCCCATTTCTGAACCGAGGCCCGGCCGGGCCCAGGCCCGAACCGGGCCCAGGCCCGAACCGGGCCCGAACCGGAACCGGTCCACCCATAGATCCAAGGACGTCCCAGTCCAAATAACCTTGTGTTGTAAGTTTTAGTGGTAACTTGTAAGCAAATTAAGCTTCAAATTGAATCGTGAATAGATAACATTGGTTTAACTTTTCGAATATCTTGTACCTGAGATAAATTGAATTTTATTTTATTTATCTTGCAATAAATTTTACATCTTCAGAATTCTCTTTGTGAAGAAAGCAAGTTGAATTCAAACAGAAAAAAAAAATTCTGAAAGACAAAAGGAAAAATAAATACCAAGGGCCATTTCTAATTTACACAAATTTTACATGAAAAGTAGTAACATCATAACAAATGTTGTCTTGAACACATTCCAGTGACTCCACCACAATAGTACAACCCCTTTAATTTATATAAATATCTTGCTCATACCTCCCTCCCAGGCCCATCCATTTCAAAACAATCCAAAACATCAAAACTCCTCTTAAAAGAAAACAAAAAATGAAACAAATTTTGTAACATATCCCAGACCATAAAATTAAATGTTTGGAGATTAAATAAATTCTATAAACAAAAGAAATAACCCCTTTTCAGATAGAACATGATGAAGCACCAGGATCAGCAGCCAAATAGGGTAGTAATAATAATAGTAGCAGCAGCAGCAACCTTTTCATTCAGAAGTCTTGGTCTTGGACCTGTAGAGAAGCTTCTTCCTCTTAGAAGTCTGGTTGTTAAATGTTAACACCACCTTTCCTGTACTCTCTGCTTTGTAGGTTGTACCAATTATGGTTTCATCTGCTGACCCGATCTTCCTTGGCTTCTCTAGGATGATGGTGTACGCGCCTTCGTCTCCAGGCACGAACTCTGCTCCATAAGACACATCCCACCCTATCACTCTTGCCTCCCAAACCAAACTGGTATTCTGCATAACCAAACGGATCACATAAGAAAGATGCATTGAGGCAAAGGGCCCAAAAAACAATCTTTGAGATTTCGGTTCTGGTTTTTCAGCTGGGCCTGTTGGATCTCGGAACCAGACACAAATATATTCTGATTTTTACAGGTATCAGACTTAACCTCATAGACGAGTTTCATAGAATTATTATTCTATATCTAACCGATGTAAGACAAATACTTTAACAAACCCGACCTTACTCTATAGAACTTTGAGTCGAATACAATAAAATATCATGTTTAACTCAAAATTAACTCGCCTTCTACTCGGCCTGAGCCTAGAATCTAAACAGTTGTGGGTTGGGATTTCACAGAACAGTGAGGATAAGTCAGATATTTCAATTACCTCGGTAACAGGAAATTCGATAGTGTGCTTGGAAGTTGGCTTGATAGTGTCCTCAGTTGAAGCGTCAGCGGTATTGAACTCATAATCTCCCTCTCTGCTAAGCCCACCATATTGAACTGGAACTTGCTCAGGGGCAATGTATCTACAAAAAATCTACCATCTTAACACCCAAAAAAAGAAAAAAATAAATAAAATAAATGATTTTATCATAAGAGAAGACTAACTTGAAGAGGGTTTCAGCCGATTTAGAAGGGCCTGCAAACACAAACTTGCTCTTTGTTCTTATGGTGAAAAGAGCATTGATCATCTTATAGTAGGATGGGTACCACCATGGAACATTGATGAAGACCTTCACATTTAATAAATTGATACATAAATAATTAATTAAATTAATACATAAAAATTAACAAGAACCAACTTTTCAAAGATCCTAAAACATAGACTTTTAAGTTCATTTAATCATCACCACCTTAACCCAACTACTTCACATAAAGCAGCAGGTGACATGCAATTTATAATGTCAATTACTATCTAAAATTAATTGAGTAATTCATGCAAACAATAGTGTTGACCGTTGGAGATAGATTGAAATCTATCATGAGGTTTTTGTTACTTGAAATAGTATAGTACCTAAAGTAATGAATCAGAATTGAAGGAGCTGTTTGAAAATGTTTTATGCTTTTCCTATGTTTGGAATATTTTCCTTATTCCACGATTCTATGATATTTTGTGGCAACAATTTCGTGTTAAAGGGGGAACAGTTTAGTGTTTTCTACTTTAGTGGGTCAATTCAATAATATATTACACATAGATCCCAACCTTTTTCCAGGAAAATATTTCCCTTTTCCAGAAAAACTTTTTCAGAAGAAAACAATTTCTTCGGATAACATTTTCCAAAATAAGTAATTTTCCTGGAAAACAGATGGAGACGCAATAGAAGTTCATCTAATACAAGAACATTACAGATTCAACTAAAACTATCACAGTTATGTCTCAAAAATTCAAATACAGATAGTAGATAGTGGCTATAGTCTCCTTTAGTTGAAAAATATGTTCATTTGATAAAAAGTAATGATTAAACATTTGTAACATGACCAGATCCTATACCTTGTCCCTAAAGATGGTTGTACATGTGTGTATTTACTCATTAACAAAAACACAAATGGATAAAAAGTTTTTTGAATGAACAAAGAAAAACTGATCGATCTAGTCCATGTGACCATACTTAATGAGCTTTCATGCCTACTGGCATGATATGTTCTACCTTCTTGAAAGGTTCAAGCATTTAAAGCTTACAGTGATGCAATCCATGTAAGATTCCCCAGCAAAAGGAACTAAGGGCAAGTGATGAGATTTGACATTTATATAGACCAAAGAACCATAAATCCTCAAACACTATTAGAATGAACAAGAACTAAGTGATAAAAATTAAAACTTTAGGAAAGAAGAAAAGAATTAATTACCTGTTTGGCAACAAATTCAGGATAATTGTCTTGGAGCAACTGAAGGGCTCTGTTAGTGGCCTGGCGAAGCTCTCTCTTGAAGAAGAAAAGTCCAGGTGAGTTCTTGAGATCGATAACCTGAACAAAGGTGCAAATTCCTTCAGGGCTGAAGTCCAGATTCCTGATTGACTTCTCCATGAACTGGATCCTCCATCTCAGGAACCTGTTCAGCTTCTCCTTATCGGAAAAGGTGCTCTGGTACAGCTCCTTGTCCTGAAACTCCCCGAAGGAGTTGTAGCAGATGGGGTGCCCTTCTTTGTCGGAACCGTTCATGTAGACAACCTTTTCCAGGCCTTGACCCAGATCGGATTCTTCCAGGAGCTCGTCGATGTTGAACTGTTTCCGCCACGCGACCACGTTTTTCAGCATCGCGAAGGCTTCTTTCACTTTGAAGTCGCGTGCCCGGAGGAACTTCAGCAGAATCACGTCGCTCCGGTCATCGGCGAGCAGGGGGATTCCCCAGATGGAAACTTGCTCCGGTGGGATTTCGGTGGCGGCGGCTTCTTCTGAGATTGTATCCTTGACTTCCTCCGTCGGTGTGACAGCCGTTTCCTCGATCTTCTCGACGACCACCTCCACCGGCTCCGCCGCGGTTGCTTCGGGTTCTGGGGCAGCTTCAATTTTTTCCTCCGCCTTTGGTGGCTCCTCCACAACCGCCGGGGTCTCGGCTGCCGCTGGGGTCACATCCTCGGTTTCAATCTTCTCCGGTTTTGGTTCCTCCTCGGCTGCCACCGGCTTTGGTTCCTCCTCGGCTGCCACCGCCTTCTTCTCCTCCTCCTTCGCCACCGGCAGGGGCGGTGGAGCCGTAAACTCGTGCTTGTTCAGAGCCTCCTGGATCAACTGTTTGAAATCATCCAAAGCCTTCTTCTCCGGGTTGGGAAGCTCCTCCACCTTATTACTTTCCTCCTTAAACGACGTCGACTCGGTGACGGGACCCTTCTCCTTCTCCTTCTCTCCTTCCGCCGCCGGTTCTTCCGGGACAGCCGATTTCTCGGCTATTTCAGTCTCAGAAGCCACAACCTCCGCCTTCTCTGCTACCGGCACATCGGAAACCACCACGTCTTTGGCATCGGCTGCCGGCGCCTCCGGAGCTGATGTTTTACTTTCTACGGCCATATCACTCAGATCGGAAATTCAAGAAAATATAACCGGAAATTCAAGAAAGTCCGAAAAGATCAAACTTTAAAGGGAATTTCTGACAAAATTCAAATTCAAATTCAAAAGAAGGGAGAACTGTGAGTGAATCGTGGCGAAGGAGGGCTTAATATGGCGTCTGAAGAGGGGGGTGGGGGGTGCGACAGGGGTGGGGGTGGGGGAGGAACAGCTCAGTTTGCCAGCTTGTCTGTACAGTACAGAAGTGGGGCCCTCTTTCTTTCTTAATACTGCTTCAACGTTAGTAGTGCCTAACAATCATTGTAACCCCCAAACTTTATCCTAATTCTTGGTTGTCAGCCATAATTACTTCCTTATAATCCGCATTTATTCAAATTGATCACATCTTCAGACAATTTTGGTGATTTATTTGTGTGATATATTTCTGAGACACTGGGCAGCGCCAAGTCGCTATGAGAGTGCCTAGCATGATATGTCTGCTGTTCATTCGAAGCCGTTAGTACAAGGCTCTGTTTGCTTTAAATAAAAGCACCTTTGAGAAAAAAGTGATTAGTAGTAAAAATTAGTAGTGTTTGGTAAAATAAGTACTTTTTGTATAATAGAAAAAGTAAAAAATAGATTCTACACGAAAACCAGGAAAGTAAAAGTTGGTAATGTTTGGTAAAATAAGTGTTTTTCTATAAACAAAAACCACAATCACTTATTTCAAGTGATTGCAAACAAAACCTAATACGGACTACAAAAGTGATTTCTCAAAATATTTTTGAAACATTTAGAGCCCGTTTGGTAGCACGAAAATCGGCTGATTTGACCGATTCTGCTGAAATTTTTAGTGTTCTGGCTAAAGTGACTACATTTATTGATTTTGCTGATTTAAAAAATAAAATAAAATATACTCCGTATTTTATTAATAAACGGAGAAAGTTAATGTAAAATAGTTAAAATGATCATCTACAATTACTTCAGTCAACAGTGGCGAATGTCCTTTATGCAAGGGTGTTCACATGAACACCCAAAAATAAAAAAACAATAGGAATATGTATATCTGAATTGGAGTAATAATTTGTTTAATAGTATTTTAAAGAGAAAATGTGTAATTTTGAACACCCAAAATGTAATTACTAGGTCCGCCACTATCAGTCAATGCAACCAGAAAAGTAACTTTAACCTTAATTTTTCTGCTTATTAAACAATTCAACGCGCGAAAACAAAAATTACATATTTGGCAAAAAAATTGGCTGATAATCTTGATAAGCCAAAAAAAACTATGTGGCCAAACGACCTCATAAATTATATCAAAACGTTAAAATTTACTACGTATGAAACTCCTGAATTGGCAAAACACAAAAGTTGTGAGATCCTGGTAGTAGACCTGCACAAAAGTGGGCTCGGGCCGGGCTCAGGCCGGGCTTTTCATAAGTTTTCTGCCCATCGTGTGTGGGCGGGTCCGGCCCGGCCCGCAAAAATGGGTCTAACCCCATGTCCATACCCGCCCGTAAGACCGGGCCGGGTAGTCCACCGGGCCGCCAAGCTCGGGAAAACTTTAAATTTTCAAAATTATATAATTTATTTAATATTTTATAAATAATATTAGAACACTTAAAAAATCGCTAATACGCTTATAATGTATATAGGCCCTTCATCACATACACAAAAAATAATAATGAGAAACCATATCTAAAATTTAAAATTCAAGCACAAAGTATTACCTTTAAGTACAAAAATAGATATTTCATTGGTTGGACTATTTGTTAAGAACTAAAAACTTAAATTTAAACATAATAAACTATAAATATGTATACAGATAAATCAGTACATATAAAAATATACATGTGTACATGTAAATAAATACATAAATTAGTATATATAAAAATATATATGTATATATACTAAATGTAGCGGGTCGGACTTATCGGCCCGAACGGGCCTATACCCTAACCCAAGCCCGCCCATATGTTGTTGCGGGCCGGGCCGGTGGGTAAATGTATATGCCCAAGCCCGCTAATTTGTGCGGGCGGGCCGGCCCGGTTTTGTACAGGTCTACCTGGTAGGACTCCCGGTGAATTAGATGAAAAATTAAGTATTTGGTAGGACTCTCGGTGAATTTGATGAAAAATTATATTTAAAATATACTATCATCATCCCACTATATTTGGAACAGGAGGGTATGACACAACTTTTAAGAAAAAATGAAATTGTGTAGTTGATATTGAGAGGCCGTTTGACAACACTATTTTTCGACTTATCAGACTTATCAACCAACTTTGTCACCAAACACATAACTTTTACTTTCACGCGTTGAATTGTGTAATAAGTAGAAAAAATAAGGTTGTAGTTACTTTTCTGGCTGTAGTGGCTGAAGTTACTGTAGATGATCATTTTAACTATTTTTACATATAATTTTTTCTTTATTTTATTAATAAAATATATTTTAAAAATATTTTTTTCCTAAGTCAATAGAATCAGCCAATACAACCACTTCAGCTAGAACTTCATAAATTTCAGCAAAATCAGCCAAATCAGCCGATTTTCGTGCTACCAAACGGGCTCTGAATTGATAAAGTGTGAATAAAGTAAGGATGAATTGTAGTCATCCAAATATTACCAAATATGGTACTGCACAAACTTTATGAGATGGACGAAAAAAGTAAAACGAGACAAAGTTAAGGGGATGAAGGGAGTATTTTGTTAATAAAATGAAGAAAAAATATATTTTCTTTGTTTTTTATTTGCTAGAGCCACTTCCCTTTTAAAGAAGTATTTTAATATTGATATTTTTTTAAAATGAGTAAAAACATTTTGAAGTTTCAAAATATGAGCACTAAAGGCTAAAGGGTCAAATAGGTACATGAACTAACTTAAAGTGTTCAATTAGCCCCTTATATAGGAGGTTCTGCCCGTCCGTCACGAATTGAGGCGGTTCCCGGTGGAATTTTTTGATGAAATTTTTTGAGCATCTTCTTCATTAAGTCTAGTTTACCCATACCAAATTTCAGCTAAACATTTAACCGGGAAGGCAGCCAAATGATTTTGTGAAGATAACTGCGCAGTTAAACAGCGCAGTACATTTCGAAAAATCATGTGACTGCCTTCCCGATTTAATTTTTAGCTGAAATTTGATATGGGTAAACTAGACTTAATGAAGAATCTGCTCAAAAAGTTTCATAAAAAAAGTCCACCGGGGACCGCCCCAATTGGCGACGGCCAGGCAGAACCTCCTATATAAGAGGCTACTTGAACACTTTAAGTTAGTTCATGTACCTATTTGACTCTTCAGCCTATGTAAAAATAATTTAACTAAATAGAGTAAAACATACAGTATTCTTTTTCCCTAAATAAGACATGTTTCCATGAATATTACTAAATTAAATTCAAAAGAAAAAAATATGACTTATTTTAAAATTTTCCAAAAAGTGACATATTTAGTAACTAGTTCACAGTGACCTGTCATTTCCAGGGAATTGTATTTCTAAAATATTCTATAGTGACTCTTACACAGTAACTAGTCATATTTTTTGTTCAAAAACATAACTAGTCATATTGTTGTCCGGTGGAACTCTATTAGTAATATACATGTCTTTTTTTCAAATAATTAAAGAATCCATATTTATACTTCTTAAATAGGGTTAAACATTATATTTCTACCGTTAATGCAATTAAATAATATAATTAATTTCCCCTACTTTATTCACATCACGAAAGTCAGTGTGTTGGTGATAGGACAGTCTGGCGGCGGCAGCAAAAGCCCAGCGCAAGCAGCGACGTGGATTTGGTTGCATCAGAGTTCTGGCAATTGGCGGCGGCGGTGAGGTTCCGTTGTTCAGCAGTTCGGTGATGATGGCTCCGGAGACCAAGGACGGTAGCTCAATGGGCAATACAAGGCTCGATCCCTGCATGAGGTATTCTTTTACATTCACAAAAAGACTCATATTTAGCGAATTTTATACATCTACTCCTATTTTTTCTTTTGCAACGTGTTTTACTCCTAGTATGGGAACTAACTCTTTGCTTAAACTATAATAATGTGAAAACATGACATTAGTAACTTCTATTTAAAGAATAAAAAATAGTGGTTCTTTTTAAATTTATTAACATTTAACTTCCATTTAGAACAATTTCTTTTTAATTTTTTCTGTACTTTTCATTTTTCGTATAAACTTCTATTTTTCTTTAGTTTGATAGATTTCATACTTTTTCATCTTCTCTTTCATAGTTTTCCATCTCCTCACCTACTTTTTATACACCATTCACTAACCTACTTTTTACCTTAAATCTTGTGGCAAACTGACAAACCCTATTGTAACAATCAATAGAATAGTTAGAGTATAAAATAGTTAAAATGATCATTCACAGTAATTTCAATTAATTCAGTTAGAGAAATGATACTAAACTTACTTATTTTGATTATTTCATAATTCGGAACGCAAAGTCAGAAGATAAAATTGATAAATTGAAAATAAAGATTATTTTATTGCATTTAATATCCAGTAAAATGTCATTTATAGTGGCTAGTGTCCAGTGAGAATGGAATAAAAACAATTCTAACAAAAGTAGTCAATGCGCTTATAGATACGGAGTATAGGCTGTATAGTGTAGTCTTTTTTTTTAGGGAATAAGGGAATATAGTGTAGTCTTTTGGTTCAATAGAGATCAATTATAACGTTCAAACCCCAGTTAGCTTTTTCCCGTTTAAAACGCGTTTTAAACACGTATCGTTTTTTCAAACAAAAAAACATGTTTAAAACGAAAAATAATGTCGGTCCGTTTAAAAAGTAGAAAAACTCCTACTTCCCGTATAAAACGTATTTTTTCCGTATTTTATAAAAATAGAAACTTGAACTGATCAATTGAATTAGTGCACTAAATGCATATGAGATCAACAATGGCTTAAAAGGAAAAAAGAAGACCTCCTCCTCGTGACCCCATGTTTTTGCATTGTATTGTTACAATGCAATTATTAATCACTAAAATTATTTGCATGACGACTAAAGCTAGCTTCCTAGAAGACCAAAAGTCCAAAACTTGAAATATTATTGGATTTATGATGTTTTTCCAATCAATAATATCAAAATTGAGGTTTTTCTAAACCTAACATATTTTTGTATAAACTTTTACACATAAACAATAAAAAGCGCAGTAGTCGCACAACATACTTTTC